CTGGAACTCAAAACAATGTTCTGCTGATGAGAGTTCTCGGTTTGATAGTCAAGTGCTTGAAAAAAAAACTAGCATGGAGAAAACCCATCCGCAACTGAGAACTCATATTTGGTAGGAATCGACTACCCGCAGAGGCGGTAGGCTATTTTTTAGTAAGGTTTGGCACACACTCTGGCATCAGACGTGTGTGAAATATAATTTATAAGGTTACTCTTCAAAGACGTGCAGTCAGGACGCTATGATCAAACGAATCCGAAACGTTTATTCTCTATATGTGTGTGCAGCATTAAAGTATAACTCACACACATGTATGCATATAGATAGATATATCTTTCCACAAGGACGTTCGGTTCCAACTTACGACAATTTAGAGAAATCGGCATTTGGAATAATATTTTTTGTGGATAAGTTTGAAGTTTGTAGAAACAAGTACATTCTGATCCTGTAGTTAAAGACTCGAGTCCCAGGAGAGACGTGACAATATTTGAACATTGTATTGTAGTCAAGGTGAAGATCAAAGTTTCTTAGGGATAAATCTATTTAGAAAACTTCCCACAAAATCTCAGTATGTGCTGGGTTTGGACGGAGGTGCAAATAAATTAATCAACAGTGGTCTCATTCACTCACATGTACTGAACAGTCATTGGCTCCGACCCCTCGGAGATTCGTTATTTTAACAAAATGGATGGTTGAAGCTCAAAGAAGTTGGAGTTGGATGAGAGCACACCGAACAGTGCATATTTCCGTCCTGAGAAAGTAACGCCGATCATCCAGCCGACTGTTTTGGACCACCAGTCGCCCAAAACATCTAATCCCATCCACTGCTTTGTCGATGATGCTATCCATTGTTCTCTTTCTTACCCAACACCTCAAGCACTTGACTATCAAACCGAGAACTCTCATCAGCAGAACATTGTTTTGAGTTCCAGTCCACGAGCTACAATCTCATAATACCGCTTAGTAAAATCTTTCTTAGAAACGTTTTGAATCTACAATATTGAGTTGAAAAATCCTAGGAATTCTCAGGAATGCTACCCGAAGTAATAGTCAAGATGCGGGTAAATGTCTATGCACATTAAAAGTGACTGACAGCATGAAGGTCACATGCACGCACATACACACACACACACATACACGCAACAAAATAAAACGTGAGCAAGATGATGGCCAATACTGTATCGATCAGTCATTTCAAATTCATTTGGCCACCACGAGTGATAATGGTTATGGTCGGGAGTATGCGTTTCAGTGACTGGATAACAACAATATGGCTGTTATTCCAGCTAGCATGGTCGATAGACGGCAAGATTCTTTATTATATGTGTACCGACGAGCGATGCGAATATGTAGACAAACCAACTTGCGAGTTCCAAATAGATGAAACGACATTTTCCAGATCACCCGGAGTCAGGGGAGGACGTTTTATCATGATGTGCCTCAAAAATGAGCCATACAAAATTGGCTGGGTTTTCAATGATCCACAGAAATATTTAGATTGTTCGGCAATCCCGTCAATCATTGATTTGACAATTGCAAGGACTTCTTATCGATTCTGCACGCATCGCTTACGTTTGCAAACCCCTTGGATTGCTCACTTGGAGCTGATGAATGCGTTTGTGTTCGACGCACCAAACTGCATGATCGATCCTCCTGCATACAATTTTCACGATGGGATTTTATATATCAATGAAACAGATCGACCACCTATTGGCGCTGCCCAAGTCGAATGTGACGGATTCATCAAACGAATCTACTTTGTCAGTAAGTGGACCTCTTCCTCCATCATTACATGTGTGGACTAGAAAATATGTATATTTGTGTACATAGTATGAATTGGGATTCCATGAATGTTTCTAAGTTGTAATATAACTAAACTCGGATTTGCAGGGCTATGAGTCCAACATATTAATTCTCGGCTATTCGCTTTGAATTCTATAGGTAGAACCAGAGGTAAATTCTCAACTAGTTGATGGTTGTTCCGAGTGAATAGGAGGGAAGATGGTTGTTTGTTCACTGATTTGTGTTGTTGTCGCTTGATGATATGAACAATGTTTAGGATGAAAGAATTGACTGAAGAGTTCCTGTTCAGTTGCGCGTCACAGGCGTATGCGAACTTGTCCGAAGAAATCTGATGGTGACTGTAGGTCCATAAAATTATTCTCTTTTGAACGGAATGCGAATATTAATATCATCACCAAAGTTTTCCGTTGGGAATTTTACACTGTTTCTTTGTATAAATCTTGCTGGGTGAAAAATGAGCGTCATAGCTTCTGTGAGCCGAATTAGCCCGCTTTCCACATTATCCAAAGTGCACAAGCGCCGAACTCGATCCAACAGGGTACGCATGAGGTCTCATTTGTATTGGATTGGAACGAAACTCCCACAATACATGTATCGGGCGGTCCATGTGGATTTTTGATACACTGACCTCCAAATAACTCCGTCTGGTCTTCGACCAATAACAATATCTAGAAATGGTAATGTGTAGGTTTGCTCAGTCTCTATAGCGAGTTGAATGTTCTTGTGATGCAAATTCAATTCTGCTGACAATTTCTCGGTCTCCCGGGCATTTCAGATGATTATCCACGTGTCATAGACGTATTTCCCATAGAGCACATCGCCGTTCAATGTCCTATTGACTTTGTTCTCCAGACTAGCCATGAATATATTAAGCGGAATAGGACCCAACCANACCAGCAACTTGTCTAAATCGTTGTGCACAGACTTACTACACATTGTAAGACAGAAAGCGAGATTCCCAACTTGATGTGTTTCTCCAATACGTCGTCACTAATGAATTGCACAGTTTCCATAACAAGCACATTTGTGAACAAAGATAAGGCACCAAAAGATGGCATATGGCAGTTATTCTTGTTCAGTTGTGTTTTGTATTCTGCCGTAAACACCATCTGAGAAGCAGCAGAATGATTCCGGAATGAAATCATGCTTGCCTGCAGTGTTGTATTCTTTGATCAAGTCCAGTTCGGTAAATCACTGCTTACATTTTCAGCTCCCCATTCAATTGCACATTCTGAGTTAGTTAAAAGCTCAAATGTTTGCGAAGATGATGCTAAAAATTTCAGCATCGGTTGATAAGGAAACACTCAAATCATTATCTACCATCAATCCCGACGTCTCCAACCGGGAACCTAACGTAACGTATTTGACCAAGAACTCTGGTTAGGATGTTTAAACTCTCATTCTAGCTTTTCGTACGGCTGAGCTGTGTGCCAAAGAAATCACGGTACAATAATCTTTATAATAGAGGTTGCATTAAATTTTTGGTGTCGCCAAATGGTGCCTTCAAATGAGCGAAGTGCTTGTAATTCTTTTATTAACTCCACGCACTTTCCCGGTTCTGCGTTCTCATAGTTTCGTGTAAGGATAAGAGGAGAAAAATATTGTCCACAACCTTGAATGAAACCAAGGGCATGGGGAAATGAACATTGGAAAATGAGTAATTGGCAATCAAGCGGTAATATGACTTTTTCACACAGCCAATGCAACATTTTATACAACTGCTCTCTTATATGACAAGTTCAGTTCAGTTCAGTTCAGTTCAGTTCAGTTCTTACAACCAGTAACCATGCCCTTTCGTTCGCCAGTTTTGGTTGCTGTCTTTCGATTGCCCACTTGAATAAAACAGCAGAATAATGATATGGGAAGATTTTTTAACAGTTATTTCTGATTTGTTCCATAGGATCTCCGGATAGAGTGTTTCAGTTCTGGTCAAATGTTCGGACCCGTTACTTTTGGATTGGCATGTACACAATTTCGTTCCGATTTCGCGTGAAAGGTCATGAAACCGTAGGTGATGTACTCAGTCACTGCAAATATACCACTCCAAAAAATGTAAATTATCACGTCAAAGGATTCGATTTTCAAACCACAGACCAAGTCACTGTTGGACTTTATCGAATTCATTGTGTTAGTGATGAATTCAACTTGGTCGGCTCCAAAAGTGTAATACTCGTTCCGTACAGAGAATGTGGAGGAAAATGCGATTCGTCAGTGATTATTTTGAAACAACCGAAAATTGAATCGACAAATTTTACGTTTTGCAAATGTAAGGACGATTTTCAGAAAAAGTATGAATACTCCAATATGGTTTTTGATTTGGATGGTTCAAATGTTGCTCAGTGTCACGGAGAACATGAAAAGCAATTACGTTTGAACGGCGCCTCGTTTCAGCTCAATGCTGATCAAGTTTATCCTCGATTTATGACAGTCGATTGCGAAATCTGTTGGGCAGAAGGGATCTGTTTATCCAATACTTTGCAACTAATGATAGAAGGTAAGAGTTGCATTGTCGACTAGCACAGTTAGAATTCCAACACAATAATTTATTCGCACTGAGTTGAAATACGTTGAATCACAACTAACAAGGATAACACATTGATGTTCATTGGGAATGATCTGACTGATCTGATGTGTATGATAATTGTAAATTCTTCAGATCTAAACAGTGCACCAGTAAACAGTCAAAAGTATTGGGAACATTTGGTGCTCAACTGTTTTGTTAGATTTCTTAGAAGTCATCCGTGCAATGCACATTCCTCTGTGTCGCTGAATGTTCAAAAAGTGACTTCTGGCGTTCTCCAATCATGTTTCAAAAGAATAATTATGCAGCAATTCATTCATTCATTCATTTGTTGGTTCATTTATCCATTCAGTTGGTCAGTCAATCAGTCATTCATTCATTCATTCATTCATTCAGTCATGCAGTCAGTGAACCAGTCAGGTTGTCAGTCGGTTATTTCATCACTCAGCTGCAGTTAGTCAATCAATAAATATGCAGTGCTGTTTTCACTTTCTTCCGCACTGACCTGCACTCAGATGAGCACGGTGTTTGCTCTCGGAAAATTCAATCACAAAGTTTGACCATTGCGATGTTTCCTTTTCGAATGAATTGCAATTTATTTAACTGGATTGTTTTCAATCCGGATCGAAACGCATTGTCGCCATGCGTCAGATTATGGCTGGGACTTGAATCATTTGAACCGTTTAAAAAGGTAGTTGATAGGTCCGTTGAGCCATGTACAATTCATCAAACCATACGCCTTTTGGATGGGGCAAAGGTTCAAGTTACCCAAGACACCTCGATGGCCAATCAAGTAGGTAAACACTATCCTTACCAGAGAGATATTGGTGCGATGCGTACATTTCGACTGGATTATTTCGAAATCAGAGTTTTAAACTAACTTCACCCGGATAAAGTCGTGACGATTGACTAATCCAATAGTGGTGTTTGATGTGAGCCTTTTGGATGACATACACCTGCACCAATTGTGGGATTTTACTGAAGCGTCTTAAACAGTTATTGCTCTTAGCTTTTGCTTCTAAATTGTTGGGTCAAATAGATTCTCTTGCATCTCCTCACATTGCTTTGTTCAGACCCTCCAAATCGGACTATGGAGATAGAGTTGCCACAAAGGAGAATGTATGACGTGACGACCAGCAAACCAAGGTTTGCAGCATGCATCCGCTGGTCTGATCAGAGTGAGTGTGATTCAAACCTCACATGGATCGACAGCACTTGCGAACTGGACGCGCTAGGGGCATTGTCGACCGGTTGGTACAATGTCACGTGTAGTGCCAATCCGATTGGGAGAAAGCAAGTATTTGCCGTGATGTTGTACAATGCGTCCGACGTGCTGATAATTTGCAAACCGGGTCCGCTGGTTTTGGATAAAAACGAAGCGCACGATGTAGTCCTATGTGGTATCCCGGACGAGTTGAATTTGAACCAGTCTATTCCAAAGGAAATTACGTGTCAAGCAAAGCCTGATCATTTGTCAATCCAAAGTGGCGTATTAAACATCCGACTGAGTCTCATCAAAGAGCGTCACTACGAGGTGGTGTGCCAAACTGCTTCAAATAGTCCCCCCATCCATATATTTTTTGAAAGTAAGCATTTTGGGTTGATTTTTAGTGTAAAAATATAAGCGTGAGAAAGCACAGGCCAGATTTTATTTAATCGCTTTATTGATTTTATTCAATTTTTCTGCCGCATTGATGATTCTGGCTGAATGACCTCTGACCAGTGATTCACTTTTGCTGATCTGAAAGTAGAGAATACAACTATATGTTGTTTGTTGTAGATCGCGACTCAACCCACTTGTGACAAATACCAGATAATTCATCACAATCCCCTTGGACAATTCAGGAAACAGTTTATGCTGATAGTCAATAAATTTGTGCACATCAGTTACCCATCTTCTTACACAGTTGTCTATCCCCTAGTGAGATTGGATTGAGTTGTTTCTTTTCTGAATGAAAGTGGATTGTGCATACCGTTGTCCCTTGGATGAAACGATGAAACTCACTGCTAGAGGGAACAGAATTGCTCACGACCTATAACTGAGTTCGCGAATTCAATGAACGTGCAAACCCTTCTCATGCTTATACATATTTATGCATCTATACATATTTAAAAGCGTTAAACTTTATTCCATCTCTTCTGTTTTATACCGCAAACGTTTTACATAACTCGTTTCTACGATTCATTTTTATCAATAATATTTTTCTTCTTATTGAATCATCCTGGTGATTGTATCAGGTTACGTTTAGTCACGAAAAAGACCGTATGGTCTTAATCCTGTTGATAGATTATATAGAGCAGGTTATGGTCACGTGTTGAATATATGTATACTCGATGATGGTTGTTGTGAACCAGGTATTACACTTCTTTTGATAGATCCTCCGAACGAGACAATCCAAATAAGATCCAAAGTGAAAAGATCAGTTATGCTGCTAAGTGAACTGAACCGAACGTTTGCTGCATGTCCTACATGGTCCACAGAAAACGGGTGCAACGTGGAACTGGTCGAGTTCCTGCCGATCCAATGCCTCATTCAATCCGTTCCCCTTGGGTCCGATATAGCCAGCTATGCATGTTATTCGAATTCACTGGCAAACAATCAATCCATTACTGTGCCTATTTGGGATGATCGGACATTAGAGCTGAAATGTATTCAAAATGGGACAATGATCGATCATAGTGAAGAAAAGTTTGAAATCACGGTGTGTGAGTGGAAGACAGATGTTCCCTTACCCGATCGATACAGTGACGTGTTCCCGCAATTGAAAATCAACTGCAAATCAGATATGACCGGTGAAAAGAATATCGTGGATGGAAAGTGGCTGCTCGATAAGACTGCGACAATGCCCGGTTTATATAAATTTACGTGTAATGAACGATCCAGTCCACTCTTTGTCTATTATGTTGGTAAGTCCTTATGTTTACTGCGTGGATAGTTTTGCTGTCGGTTCCGGTTCAATAGTACCACGACCAAACTAGTGGGGCCTTAAGTGGTTGGCTACTCCACGTCCCAGGACCTGCATTGCTGGTTTCCGTCACTGAACATCAGGTTTTCACGACTATGTGCTCCACTCCACGTGCTGTACATTACACTAGAGTGTGTAAAACAAAAACCACAATTTCTCGCGTATTACACGCCGGATACAAAGTTTTGGCACCTGTTCAAAAATTAGCATGAGCAAATGCAACTTGAGGATGCATTCCCCTTTATACGTTTTGTAGAATTAGAACAGGTTACCCACATATTTCGATTGAATTCACAAAAGGCACATCATATGATGGAATGTTTGATCCAAGTGCATCATCTTGGTTTGTTTAGTAGCAGAAAAGCAGATAAAGGATGAAAGATGGATCGTTTAGGTCATCCACACTGGCCCTCTTATAGTTATCCCCGTGCTCATGGCTATACGATGGGGTGCTCATAGTTCAATAATCAACAGAATGTCATTCCAATAATGTCACGAATAATACTTCAGTTACTCTATCCTGTGTGATTACTGTTTCTGCATTTACACCATGTTTTTCGGGAGCACATATATACATATATGTACATATACATCATTGTGTATGTTTATATAATATGAGGTGATATTTTATTTGTATTCGGAATAAAGAATATACTTAACGCGATACGGCTTCTGTTGCGAGCTCGTCGTTTTGAGTCCCCATTCGCATTTGATAGTTGCAGAAACGATCACGATTTCCGTCTGTTTATTTTTCGTCTGAAACAAACAAACAGGTGATTCAATCAGTCTCGTATCAAAACCAGTCGGGGATGAATTTCTTTTCGGCAGTAACGCAACTGTCGAATTTCAGTTCACTTATCCATTCTGGTTTGGAACTCACCCGGCTCACACAGCCCACCTGAATTGTACAATATCCGCTCCTAATTCAAATTGGAGTGTGGATCCAGGGCTACATTTCGAATTCGGTAATCGGTTAGTGATCGGCAATCTGAAAAGTATAAACAGCTATCGTGGAAACCATGAGGTCAGATGCTCTGATGGATATATGAAAAAAACCAAGACAATCACCATTTTGCGTGAGTTATATTTGTTTCAATACTGATTATGCAATCCAGAAAGAGTGCGGTTGCTGTGAGCTCTCAATAATTTGTTTTATATACTTTCTGTGAATAGCGAAGCGTACGCTCGGGCAGGTTGTCCAGTACTGCCAAGTATGATAGAGACTTGCTCGTTACGGGGGTAGGATAATGGTACAGACTATTGGTGTTCGAACACCGGTGTCCGCCCCTCTTTGCACAAATCCGGTGGGACAACCGGACAAGTATAGGATAATTAGCTTGATTGAGGTAAATCACGTCCACCACCGGATTGGCTTTTTAGTTGCACCTTGTTTGAGCGGAATGTGTTGAGCGGAACGAGGTCAAGGATGATTTCTTTCAGGCCGGACAAGAAGGTATGAAAATCCCGATCATCGGGGTTGCGTCGAGCTTCTTGGTTGTAGAGGTCGAGATAAGTAAAATCAACGATCACGGACAATGAGTAGTAGTGTAGTAAGTAAGCACTGACGCACTAGTATCCACTCAATTTCAGACAATTCACTTGTTCGCATTCTATATCTTAATCGTTGTATTACCTTTTTCTGTTTTGCCCCTTCAACCAAATGATCACCTGATAGGTAGCAACCTGATCCACTACAATACACTATGAGGTCATAGTGTAACGAGAAGGTGAGCTGGCTGGGAAAACGTCTATTGATCCAATTCAAAAACAGTGTATACGTTCGATTATACACAGTCAATTCTCAACCGCTCAGCGGGATAATTCATGCCTCTTTCTGTGGGTCATTCGTTGTTGGTCTCGGTCCGCACTTGGCTCGTACGTTGCGTCGTCTTCCGCGTGCCATNCCGACTGGTTTGACCCGATCGCGGCGCGAGATACGTTGATCGACAGCTCCGACGTTGTGCCATTCGGTGGGTATCTTTCCCGTTAGCTGCGGATTGTCTTTCGGGCTGTAATTGTTGATTCACTCGTTTCGGGTGGCAGTCAACATTGTCTCGCGAGGCACTTCCCGCCGCTGCGTCTGCGCTTCTGATGGGATGGGCCCCGTTCTTGCTTCGGTCACTAGCCAGGACTCTCTTTGAACTCCCCTCCATTACAATGGGTTGTTTGAACGAAAACCAACACGTTCAATCTATTGTCCTCAATGGCAACTTGAAACACTTTTAGTGCGGTTGCGACATTCGGCTGTTTTTCAGGCGTATCATATATGCCGCCACGTCAAAAATGGTGTTTACGATTGCTACAGAGACACTTCATTTATCGTGGTTCGATCAAATGAGCACTGGAAAACTGCCAGTAAATCGGCACAAAACGGTGCAAGATTAATTATTGTATAAACTAGAACCGAAACCGCAATTCGAGCCTTATCACAGAAAGAGCTGTTATCAGATTATTATGAATTACCTAGCTTCAACGAATATATTTTATTTCGCCGTTACCGTGGGACATAATTCCATTGGTGTTGTGGGGTACTATTCATAATTGTAGCGTGTGCACACGAAGTTGCGATTGTTGGATCTTCATGGCATCGACTAGTGAATTAAAGGAGTATTCTATTGTAAGTACACAAGAGACAACACCTAGGCTTCCTAATAATGATGTTTTCATGGATACCTACCTTGTGTAATCGACACGGAAAGTGAAACGACCAGCAAAACTTTACAAAATTATGATAACTCTCCCATCCATACCAAATGTAGGACAAGGTTTGAAGGTGCATTGTTTTTTAAGTTCCCATTACTGTGTTCATTACGCGTAGCGCGTGGGATTATTTACTAAGTTAGTGCTTGCAGTGACAATATGAAAGTTAGTTAGTTAATTAAATTTATTTTTATTAACAATCAATTATATGTATTCACACCCATAACGTGTAATCAGGACAGTAATGGGTAATCACCACACATTGTTAAACCCCGTCGATTTGTTTTCTCCAGAGGGAGAGCTATCATTTTTCGTAGTTTTGTTGGCCGCTTCATTCTTCAGTGTTTAGGGCGTACGCCAGGATACCCATGTAAGCACCATCACTACAAAGCTCAAAGGCCGATTGCATGTTTTCGTCCACTGAAGTTACTGATCCAAATGTTGCCTGAATACAGAAATAAATCCCTTCTCCTCTATCTGCACAAAGGGAGTGCCGGGGAGTTTGCCGCTCTCGATCAACTTCGATATGTCAACTGGAGGAGGATTGATGACGCACAGTTCAAATCCAAAATTTTATTATGGGGAAACTTATAAAAATTTTGCTTGCCCTTTGGTTTCGTTATCTGGCTAAATTTCGCGGGTCAGACACAATTTGACACATATGAAGGACCTCGATGGACACCGTGTTATTGAGAACACAAAATATCCGTAGTATAGGGGATATTTTTGGAGCCAAGCGGCCATCAACCTTTCCATCAACGTGCCCATCACACATTTCAGACTGATTGAACGGTAGTTACCCTTGTCATTCTTATGTGCACCTTTCTTCATATCTCTCTCCGATTTATCTTCAAAGTAAACAAGCCTTTTTGTTCCGCCGTAAGTGATTTGTCGTTTAACTACCATGGCCTCGAAGCATGCATCTGGTAGTAGTGGTGTGGAGGGTATTCCTTCGTAAAGAAATAGATCTCACGAAGAATCAACTGTAAACCTCCAAACATATGGTTAGGATTCCCAGGCACACAACATGAAAACGGCTATTGGTATCGGTGGGTTCTCCAATCCTGTTGCAAATTTTCCTTAGCCAAGCTAGGCAACATCATCAGTTCTAATTTGGGGAATAGTCAGTGCTCAGTACGACCGAGCTGATATAGTTCTCTTTGATGGTTTTCGATCAACTGTTTGCATCTCTTCAAGCCTATTGAGCAGTAGCAATGATTTGATTGACTGAAGACACAACTATTCGAATACACAAAAATGTTTAAAAAGCATGGGCAGAAAATGCAAACTTCAGCTCAATTAGATGCTGAGAGTCAGATATTCGAAATGGACAGTACAAAAATAATTGGAAGAGCAACACAAAATAAATGCAAGAATTAATCGAAGCATGAAACTCAAGATGCGATAGCACAAGCATACAATATTATACTATTTCAACTTCAAGTGAATCCTTTGTAACTTCACGTGAATCCAATCAATCGCATCCCATTGGGAACCCCACATGATGATTGGTGTTTAGACCGTCAAACGTCACCGATTGGATCGGGTCGGTCTAAACCCCACCCAGTCCGAATGAACTATAGTCTCCGAAAACAAACAAAAGTGCTTTTTGGCTGAGTTACCGAGCAAGACGAAGACAAGATTGCTGACCACAACGGATAACACGGTAAAACAACACAAAGAAGGGGGAACAAGAGAGGATAAAGGTTTCGGTGGGTTGGGCTGTACTTTCCTCCTCCCCGCCCCGCCCTGGAACGTGATAACTAATCAGGTGTGTGTCATAGACGCGAATGAACGAACCCGGTGCTAATTGATTTCTATCGGTCGGGTAAGAAAGCGAGTCACGCGAACATAGATCGATAGATCGGTCACCATGCCCAGAGGTGAATGTGGGGATGAATCATCGCATGAGTGCATTCAATCTAAGCCCTCAATATCCTAGTGGGTGAATTTCATTGGAGCCGTAGTTCCCTTTAAATATAACCGATTCCTTTGATTCCAGTGCGATTGCCTACCTGTTTCTGACATTGAAATACACGCTTGACAAGATACTTAACGTATATAAACTGATGGGTGTGACTATTGCAATTACGTTTTCCCTTCGAATCACTCAACACTCAGATCAAAGCTGACTCCTTTGTTACCAACGAAAATAAAAACAACTGTTGGTGATTATTTTGACTAAACTGGAAAAATCCCCGTTGGTTGATAGGTTGTACTGTTTGCACTCAACGAAAAGCAAAATGTTGACCTGCCCAACCTAGTCGGTTGGTTTTACATGATGGCTTGATTTTGACAATGCATAAACTGTTTGCCTTGACTAGCCTTTATTGACCACGTGCCCTGTAAAGCACTGCTTACCAAGGGACTGCTTCTGCATGAAATTATCCAAAACCGTAAAGTGGCAAACCATTCTACTGTGATTGTAACTGTACCATCAATCCCTAAGTACTCCGCATTTTTCTTTCAACAATGATAGAAATATCTGGCCTTTAGTTCCCATTCACAAAACCGTTCAGTGGTTAAAACAAATAATTAACGATCAAATGTATTAAAAGTCAAGCATTTTGATAGCTATCGGATAATGAACACGAACATGATTAGATACATGCGGACAACCATCCCTCATGATTTGAGACTGGACATCACCAGTAATGCTTTCTAAACATGCCATTCAC